TTTTATATTTTGTATACTGATATTTTGCTGTTAAAAGTTTAAACTGATTAAAGTATTTATTAATTCATCAAAGTTATCATCATAATTCTATTGCATGTTGACATACATATCACATTTTTTAGAAAAAATTGTTTTTAAACAAAAAGATTATTAAGACTGCTGGCATATTTTACATTTTTCTCGTTACTTTTAAGGTCTGGCTTAATGAAGGGAAGCTTTAGATACCTGCTTTTACTTTCAATGTGCCGTAATATTGCAAATCATACATTATATTTATCTGAAAATCTCCAGTGTACATTCATGAATATATGAGAATTAAAAAGAAAAATAACTTATGAAAATGATTTTCACCTTCCAGAATCCTTGAAAAAGTCTTTGGTGTCCCAGACTGTTCCTTGAGAAACCTTGATGTGAGCAGTGATTTTTGAACCTTTTGGCTAACAAATTCATTCTGGTGAATATACTGAGTTTGCATTCTGAATTTGAGTTATCAATTTATTTTTGAATTTTTACACGTATTATTATGAATAATCATAAAATATAAAATATGTGAATTTATAATAGAAAGAACTTATAATACATAAGCTTAAATATTTTAATAAATTTTATTTAAATATTTATAACACATAAGTTTGAGGTTCTAGTTCTAAATGCAATTCATTATAGGTATTGAGAAAATATATTGTTTGTTACCTTCACTGAATCATGATACTAATTTTTAATTATTGAATTTAATTATTGAATAATTTTTAATTATTTAATTATTGAATTATTTAATTGTGTAATATATTTTTAAAATTTGGCTGATGAATGTACATCTTCCTTGATATCCAAAGATCATTTTTACAAATTAATTGAGAGGTTTTGTTTCTATTCAGGTAGGAAAAAACATTAAAAATCTATACTTAGAAAAATTGAGAACAGAATGGAATATTCTATTTTCACATTTAAATGTTATACAAACATTAGAGCTTTATAGATGATAAGTGTATGAAAATTCCAGTAACATTGCAATGGAAGCAATTTTGAAATTTTGAATATCTACTTACAAAATGCAACAGCATGCTGGTTTACTTAAGAACTGGTTCATGGGTAAATGAATGAATGAATGAATACATAAAATGGACTTCATAATCAAAATGATAAATACACTGAAAAGACATTCATGTTCCATTCAGCTGGACAGGGTGAATATGAATGATATCAGGCTTGAATTCTTTTGCTTGTCAATTAAAGAGAAGGTGGCAAAATTACATGAGGAGGAGGAAGTAATCAATTATAGCTAGATGGTAGCTCAGCTTCTAATAGCATGCAATGTACAAAAAAGAAGTAGAAATTTAAAGAAAATTGTGGAATAAATAGTGTCAGTGCCTTGGGATCGTAATCACACATAGGCTTCCATCTTATAATCAATCATCCATATGCAAAATTAGAAAATAAAATCACATATATGCAAATGGATTAAATTMATTTGAAAGAATTTAGAGATCAAATAGAAAATTCTGTTACAGATATTCTGTTAACAGATATTCTTTATCTATTTGCAAATTACAATCACAGAAAGTTAGTGTCTGCAGATCTTTCTTGATAGCCTAGATTTAGGAGCTTGTCATTTTGAAATGACAGGGTAAGATGAACAAGATGAGAAACATTATCTATGTTTTACAGTTGAAGAAATCCAGTGGACTAGGAGCTCTAAAATTTTTCAGTAGAATCCTTATGACCCATATCTTCCAAAGCATGATGGGTGGCAAGAGCCATATTAGTAACCTCCATAGCTACCATAGCCACAGCCTGAGTCATAGCTAGGCTCACCAAACTCTAGTCCCTACAGTTGTTGTACGTTATGGTTGTGACATGAGATGCTCCCTAAAAAACTCATGTGTCAGGAAATGCAGGACTGTTCAGAGGTAAAGTAATTCGATTATAAGAGCTGTAGCATAATCAGTGGATTAGTTCACGTGAAGGATTGATGATTTGAATTGGTAACAGTTGGCAGGTAGCAAGAGGCTGAGGGACAGAGTTCCATGGGGGTATGTTATTGGGATTATATTTTGTCCGGGACTGCTTGCTCTGATCTTGTCTCTGTCTGCTTCCTGGCCGCCATGGGCTAAGCAGCTTTCCTCTGCCATATGCTGTTGCCCTGATGCTCATCTCAAGTCCAGGGCAATGGAGTAGGCTGACTATAGCAAAAACCTCTGAAACCATGAGACCCCGATAAATCTTTCCTCCTCTAAGTTGTTCTTATCAGGTATTTAAGTCATAGTGATGCAAAGCTGAGGAACACACAGGCATAGRTCATGGTGTCAAGTGTGGATAGTTCAGATGTGGAAGAGGGAGGGAATTTTCTGATCACTATCTTCACATTATCTTTTACATTTTTTTCAGTAGTAGGTATGGTGAATTACATGCAATGTTGCCTCACTAGAAATTGTTTTACATAAAACATAAATAGCACCAATAGCAAAACTCTCAAAAATCTCTTATTTTGTTAGCATAGTGAAGACTTGTAGTCAAAATTCCTCTATGGTTAAGTCAAGATTTTCATTATCACATTATATAAATTAAATGCAGTTTTTGACCTAATTTTTTTTTCTGTTTTTGGTGGGGAGGTGCTGGGGATTGAACTCGGGGGGAACTTAATTACTGAGCCACATCCCCAACCCTATTTTGTATTTTATTTAGAGACAGGGTCTCACTGAGTTGCTTAATGCCTTGCTTTTGCTGAGGCTGGCTTTGAACTCGTGATCCTCCTGCCTCAGCCTCCTGAGTCACTGGGATTGCAGGCATGTACCATTATGCCCAGCTTGACCCAGTTTTAAAGTCCTTCCTCACTGAAATTTTAAATTTATATTCCATGATGAGATTCTATGAAGTCACAGAAACTATGCAAACAACAAATGATTCAAATTGTTTTGAGCTTATTAAGAGTTTCAAATTCCTCTGGTCAGCTGCAGGTGAGAGAGACATTCTGTGTGAGGTTGGGTTTTACTTAAAATATGAGATCAACATTGCCCAATATCCTTATAAATATAATTCATTTCACCTTATATACATGACTAAAGTAATGTCTTTACAAGATACAACATTAAAAATGCACAAGTATATTTTATCAGCATCACATCAACTTCTATATCAATTAACCAATTATCTATTCTTATCTTTTCCAGGTAAACTCAGCAAAACTGAGACTATCTAGCTTTTGTGAAAGCACAATTACATTAAAGATTCCACCAACCTCTCTTTCTCCTGAGGCAAACCTCAATGTACAGTGGTATGGTGTTGGTGGGGAGGGACCACCTCCCCCTGTCCTCTGCTGACATCTGATTATGGCAGTGCACATTGCCATTTCCAACTGTCATAACCAGTGGATCCACTACCCAACATTCAGTGCTTTTATCCTTTGGCTCTGGAGCTAGAAGAGTCTGGTTGTGGGAGGAAAATCAGTGAGTCTGTATTTAGGTCTCCATGGGTGGACTTGGATTTAGTCATTGCACATCTTCCTGCTTATGCTATATCTGTTGCGGAACTCATTGAAAAGGAGTGTGCCTTTTTCTGCTGTTAGAGACTTAGCCTTATTGCAGGGTTTCTTCTCCTTTTGGCTGTGATGGCACCATGTCCTAAAGGAAGATTGCACTGTGTCTGTGTTTGTTAAACTCATCAACACTCCACTAAAGCTATATCCATGAAAAAAGATATGGTATGAAAAATATTATAATAACAAACTTTATCCTGGTATCGACTGCATGCTAGATACTGTTCTAAGTGTTTGACATGGACTAATTTGATTCTTAAAATTGCCTTATGAGGTAGGGTATTTTTACAGTCTCATCTACAGATGGGGTATCTGGAGCACACAATGATGGTGGTTACACAGCTATAAGTGATAAAATTAAAATTTAAACCACAGAGCTTATTCCAAATGTATAGCTCTATTATGCTCTACTGGTTTATATGAAGTCATTGTGCTAAGAACATCGGTTCGGAGGGTGAGTTTCTTTAACCATTGAATTCATTTCTGAGTTAATATTGCATAAGTAAACAAAAGTACTTGCTAACAGTAATATTTCTCTTATACTCTGAGAACTTATTGAGAACTTACTCTGAGAACTCCTTGTTGGTAAAAATCTACTAGGTTTAATGAAAAGGCATTTGTACCATTTTTATTGTTACACGTAAAGAAAATGCCTGTACTCATCTTTGAGTCAGAACACAAGTATAAAAAATGTCTTAAAATTTAAAGGAAGCTTTTTCATGGAGTTCTATATTAAAAGCGAAATCTCAACATTTCCATTTTCTGCTTATGGCTTCAGGATATGAACTTGAAGCCAAGGGGAAAAATAGTTGGTGCTTTTAAAACAGTTATAAAAGAAAATATTGATGCAAATGAGAAAGAATAGTTTTCTCTAGTCTGGTGCTTCAGAATTTCAAACTATTGGACTGAGACTGAGTGATCCTTTATGGACTTTAGTAATAAAATATTTCTCATGTAAAATGAAGAGAATCTCCAATGGGGGGAAATGGGTTTGGAGCACCAGGGCACAGAGGAAGATGCTCAAGCTTAAGGGTAATTATCATTGCTTACTGGATGTCAGCAAAAACACAGTGAAATTATTAGCTGTGCCTGGATCAAGTCAGCGTTTACCTATTAAAAATGCTGTTTCTTGCTTTAAAAGCTGGTTATAACAAAGATAATTTAAATATCTTGTGTGGGTAGGGTTTTGAATATGAGAAATTGAATGACATTTATGACCAACAAGTGGATCAGATGTGGCTAAACAACAGGAAATTGTCTTAATGCCTCGATGCCAGGTTTTAAAAATGAGTCAACAAATTTTTCAGATTGCTTCTGCAAAGAAGCCAATGGTGTGAGGTGTGTGGTGGGTTCTGCCCACACTGAGGGCATATAAAAGGTCCTCTTCAGGTAGAATTGTACAGACTCAAGTCACCTATATTCCTTCTCTACCCAAGGACAACCTCTCTACTCAACAGCCTACACGATGTGTGGTAGCTACTGTGGAAACTACTATGGCGGCTATGGCTATGGTGGCTGTGGCTATGGCGGCTGTGGCTATGGAAGCTGTGGCGGTCTGGGCTATGGCTATGGAGGCCTAGGTTATGGCTATGGAGGCCTGGGCTGTGGCTATGGAGGCCTGGGCTATGGCTATGGCTGTGGCATCCGCAGACTGGGCTGTGGCTATGGCTGTGGCTATGGATGTGGCTCTGGCTGCGGCTCTGGCTTTGGATACTACTAAGGAGGACATCCTGGGAGATGCTCACCCTCTCCACCTGTGACATCAGGATTCATTGATTCCAAACTCCACATGTTCGAGTCTCACACTTGGATGATGATGATTCTGCCAAGGGAGTCAGTTGTTGGCCTATATGGAAACTACCATTTCCCTGAGTTTACCTCCAGAAGTGGGTCAGTGTCTCATGAAATTCTCATGAGACCTCACAGTTGTGCTCTCATCAGACATTGGTGTCAGAGCAACTGCCTTGATGACTTTCAAAATGGAGGTTGTTCTCTGTTGTCCTAATAAACTTGCTTAACCTATAAGAGATATCTTGTCAGTCATTTGGTATCCAAAATTACTTGCAGTTTTTCATTTAGGCTTGTGAGAAAGAGAAGAATTAACATTCTTTGGTAGATAATCTTTCTTCCTTTTTCTAGATTGGTTTCTTTATAATTTCAAAGATCACCTAAGTTAGGTTTGTTTTGTTTTTTGTTGTTGTGTTTTGGTAAACTCACTTTTTTCTTCTCCTTTTGAGGTAATAATGCATTTAGTTCTGGGTAATTCGCAACACTGAATCAAGTGTTATTTATATGCTATTTTATGCATTGCCTAGAATAAAGTACACAGTAATAAAAACAATTTTCTCGACTTTCAATAAACATAAACATATCTTAAAATTAATGCTCTTCCCATATCCTCCATACTTTTTTAATTGGAGATGTAAACTAAATAAAAGTCTTATAAGCTAATTCAACTTAATAAATAAAAAATGCATTTCGCCTTAATGGTAGGCAATCATATTTAGTTAAAATGCAGTTTCAGGAATAGACTAAGTTGTTTCAAGATCTTATAAGTTTCCAGTTCAAGATGTTGGATGGGACTGTGTTCATATCCAGGCTTCATTAGGGAAGGATCCAGTTTCAAGCTCATGTATTTGTTGGAAGAATTCACTTGCTTGCAGAGGTGGGCTGGATGGGCTTATTTCCTTGTTGACAGTTAACTGGGTCCCTTGCAGGCTGTCTTTTGGAAGCCACTCTCACCAGAAGAAGGTGCTCAGTAGGTTCCCAAACATAGCTGTTAGTTTTCTCAAAGCCAGGAAGGCAGAAAAGTTGATCCATCAAGAAGAGTACTACACCTAAAGTAACCTAATTATCCATGCTTGCCCTACTCATGAGGTTAGAAGCAAGTCATGTGTCTCGCTGACTCTCACAGGGAAGGTCTTACACAAGGGCACCAACCTCAAGAGGCAGGAATCAAGGAGGGACATGTTGAGAAACTGCCTATCTCCAATTATGTGTGATTTGTCCCTCAGAATAGGGGTTAGAAAGTGGTTCTTCATTTTCAGTGTTCTTAACAATTTACAGMATAAATATTGGTATTATCTAGTCTTTGAAGATACAGTAAAATTCTTCTGAGAAATCATCGGGGCCTGTAAATACTTGGTGATTTTTTCCATTACTTCCAAGGAAATTGATCTCTAAATCCAGTGATTTAGATTAGATCTAATTGATTTCTAAATCTAATGGCTCATTTTGGTAATTTCTTTCCATAGGAAATTATCTATTTCATCTTTATAAATTTAAAATACATAGAATCTGCAAAGTAGTCCCATGATATGTCATATTTCTTCAATTTCAATTTTTATTTCCTCCTTGTTTGTTATGCTGTGTATGGTTTCTTTTATCTTGATCAAGCAAGTAATCTGTACCTCTGTTTCTTTCACATAATAGTATTTTGTCTTATTATTGAAATCTGCCTTTTATTCTGTTCTCTACTTGGCTTGTTTTTGCTTTCCTATTCATATATGTGTATATATATATATACATATATATATATATATATATATATATATATATTCTTAAAGATTTTTATGTTTTTTTCAGCATAAATATCATGCATATGTATTTTGTAATTTGTGCAGCTTTTGCTTTGAAATTTGAGTCAAATTGAAAGTGTTTCAGTTAATATAAATTAAGCCTATTCATATATATGGATGTGACTGACATTTATGATAAGAATCTTTTTTCTTATTATTGAAATCTGTGTTTTATTCTTTTATCTTTTTGTCTACTTTGCTTGTTTTTGCTTTCCTATTTATATATGTATATATATACATATATATATATATATATATATATATATATATATATATTCTTAAAGATTTTTATGTTTTTTTCAGCATAAATATCATGCATATGTATTTTGTAATTTGTGCAGCTTTTGCTTTGAAATTTGAGTCAAATTGAAAGTGTTTCAGTTAATATAAATTAAGCCTATTCATATATATGGATGTGACTGACATTTATGATAAGAATCTTTTTTTAATCTTTTATTGATTTTATTTTTTTTAAATGCACGACAGCAGTGGAATGCATTACAATTCTTATTACACATATATACCACAATTTTTCACATCTCTGTTTGTATATAAAGAATATTGACACCCAATTCAAGTCTTTATATATGTACTTTGTATAATGATGCCCATCACATTCCACCATTCTTGTTAATCCCCTGCCCCCTCATTTTCCCTCCCACCCCTCTTCCCTATCTAGAATTCATCTAATCTTCCCATGCTCTCCCTCCTCCCGCACAATGAGTCATCCTTCTTATATCAGAGAAAACATTAGGCATTTGTTTTTGGGGGATTGGCTAACTTCACTTAACATTATCTTCTGCCATGATTTTGTTCTTTTTTAATGCTGAATAAAATTCCATTGTGTATATATGACCCCCCCTTTTTTTATCCATTCATCCACTGAGGGACATCTAGTTTGACTCAACAGTTTAGCTATTGTGAATTGTGCTGCTATAAACATTGATGTGGCTGCTCCCTGTAGTATGCTGTTTTTAAGTCCTTTGGGTATAGTCCAAGGAGAGGAATAGCTGGGTCAAATGGTAGTTCCATTCCCAGATTTCCAAGGAATTTCCATACTGCTTTCCATATTGGCTGCATCAATTTGCAGCCCACCATCAATGTATGAGTGTATCTTTTCCCTCGCCAACACTAATCTTCATCATGTGGGATTAGGCCCCAACTTCCTTATTAAGACTCCTATAGTGTAAGAATTAAAACCAAGAATCAATAAATGGGATGGAACCAAATTAAAAAGTTTCTTCTCTGCAAAAGAAACAATCTGTGAGGTGAACAGATAGCCTACATCCTGGGAGTAAATGTTTACCCCTTATACATCAGATAGAGCACTAATCTCTAGATTATATATAAAGAACTCAAAAAGCTAAACACAGAAAAAAACAAATAACCCAATCAACAAATGGGCCAAATACCTGAACAGACACTTATCATAAGAGGATATAGAATTAATCAACAAATATATGAAAAAATGCTCATCATCTCTAGCAATCAGAGAAATGCAAATCAAAACTACTCTGAGATATCATCTCACTCCAGTCAGAATGTATGACAATAATCTTTATGTCTTTTATTAAATAGTTTAGGGTTTGTTTTTGTTTTTATATAATGATTTTGAGTTTTCCTGTTTTAATGTTAATTTTCCAGGGGAAATTATTCTCAGTTGGTATCATTGATTTCATTTACAGACATTTTGCAATAAATCTGTGTGCCAACTGTTAATCTGTGTCTTGTTATTTATTTTTGGTAGCAGTATAATTTACATGATTTCTAACTTAATGAAACACTTCCACCAATACAATAAATTTCACTTTTGTTAACATTTTCTGTTTTGTTTCTGATGATACAGTTGGATACCTTCAAATTTGTTTTAACTTTGTTTTGGGTGGATCCTAATTTTTCAATTTACTTATTTATCCTTCACTACCCAACTTCTAAATACTGCTCCTCCCATCTCTTTTTATGTTTCTTCCTAAGAAGTTATGAGTTTTGCTGGGTGATGGTGCATGCCTGCAATTACAGCGATTCCAGATGCTGAGGTAGGAGGATTGCAAGTTCCAGGCCAGCTCCACAAATTAGTGAGGTTCTAAGCAACTTAGGGAGAACTTGCCTCAAAAAAAGACAAAGGCTGGGATATGGCCCAGTGTATAAGCACCCCTGAATCCAATCTCTGATACCAAAAGAACACCCAACCTCCCCAAAAGTAAGTTATGAGTTTTGCCAACTGCTCCTACAAACCATGCATAGTTTTCAACTCCTTCCCTGATGTTTATTTGCTTATCTACCACAATCCCTTCTCTTTGCTTTTCCTTCTTCTCTATCCTCCTTCCCTTCTTCCCAACTTTCCCTTCTGAATTTTATATGCAGAATGAGTTATCCTTTGGGGTAGGTTTTCTAGATGGACATCTAGCCTTATTTCTAACCATTCTACTGTCTTCCTGAAATTTTTTCTGTCTGTTTTTGTTTATCACAAAGCTTAGCAGCRGGACAAGGATGGAGTAAAAGAGAGTTTATGTATTAAGGATTTATTTTAATTTGTTTTGTTAAAATTAGTCATACTTTGATTTTCATTTTTACTGAGGGTGTTATTTTTCATATAGCTTTTGTGTTCCTTTGTTGTGAGTTGAATTGTATTGCCCCCCAAAACATATTGAAATCCTTACCCTTAAGATTTAAAAATGTTTCCTTATTTAGAAATAAGATCTTTGCAAATGCAATCAAGTTAAAATGAGGTCTGTAGAGGGGTTGATCAAATCCAGTGAGTGGTGTTCTCTTAGAAGGCTATATGAAGACACAGGAACACAGAGACTCTACAGAAAATGCCATATAAAGACAGAATAAGAAATTGCAATTATATTGCCACAAGTTATATTGCCAAGGAGCATCAAAGATTGCTAGTAACTTCAGGATGCCTGAAGAAATAATGAATGATTTCTTTCTGGAGCTTCTGAGGGAATATATCCTGCTGATATCTAGATTTCAGGCTTCTAGCCTCCAAAATTACAAGATAAAACTTTGTATTATTTAASACCTATTATTTGTAGTAATTTGTTACTGGAACCTAAGAAACAAATGTGCCCTTATTGCTATTCATCATTCTTTTGGAAGAAAGGTCTTTGGAAGACTTTGTTTTTAAAAAGCATGGTTGCCTTTTACTACTTTGAACATATTCATAATGACTTCTTTGAACTATGTATCTGATAAGTCTGACATAAGAATCTTGTTAAAAGTTCACTTTTTATATGATGATGGCATTTTTTATATATAAACCACATCTTTGTTTTTCTTGTATATCTCATAATAACATTGAAACTGGAACTTTTAGTTTGTATTCTGTGGCTACTCTGGATATGCTTCTTGTTTTTTTATTTGTTTAGTGACTTGGCTTAACTAAATGTTAATGAATTCTATTTTCTCCTGCTGAAAAGTCTTCAATGTCTACAATGTCTACAGAAGGTGTAGTCTATGACATGTGCAGTGTCATCCTGAGATTTTATTTTAATTTTCTTAAATCTTTCTTTCCTTGATTCTTCTGTTAAATATTTGGTCTTTCTTTCTATCACTTTCAACTGTTAAGTTCACTAATTTTAGGTGATTATGACATGATTTTCAAAAATATGTTTGGAAATAAATGGCTTCACAGATTTAATTAATTTTTAACTCTTTATTTAAGTATATGATACATTATTATTATTAACTAAAGTCACTTTGTTATCACTACATCACCAGAAATTATTGATGCTATAAGTGAGCATTTGTACATTTGAGCAATGTCTCCCCATTTTCCTCAATTCTCAATTCCTGGTAACCACTATTCTACTCTCTGAGTTTGTTAAAAAATTATATCTTAAGTATTTTTAACACATACACACACATATACACACACACAGAGTCAACTGTTTGTGTTGATTGTATGTTAATGAGCTACACACACCAACTTCACCAATTTATGTTGTATACCTTAAATACATGCACTTATGTGTCAATTATATCTAAATAAAGCTTTAATATTAACAAATCAATTTAGCATCCTTAGCAGGTATAACTTTTGAGGCCAGACTTAATTTGTTCTGAGCTCATAGGAGCTGTTCTTTGTTGTCTCATCTCCTATTTCTCTCTGGTAAACTAACTGACCTATGGCTTAACTGGTTGCTTTCATGGAGAAACCAGGTTTCTCTTAATTGCTTATCACCAACATCTGAATTGTTTTAGGTATACCCTTAAGGTTGAATATCCTACACATATTATAAATAGACTAGTTAAGTTGAGGAGATATTAAGAGTCCTATGTTTTTTTTTGGACTAGATAACTTAGAAAAATAAATGTATATGAAATTTCTACAGGTTTTCAAAATAAATCATCCTTAATTAAAAATGAATTGTGACATTTACCTAAATAATACTGGCTAAGACAGTTTACCTGAATAATACTAAAAACTTCAAAGAAGTGTTTGCTAAATTGATAAAATTTCTAGGTCATTTCAATAAATCATGTTCAGATAATGTGTGATAAGTCTAAGATACAGCAGTCACTGTGTGTTTGAGTAGACATCATTATCACAAATAGTGTTGGAGGAAAACATAGTTCCTCCTAAGAGAACGATCTTTAGTTCTTAAGGGAAGCCAGAAGACCAGTGTCTTCCTTGGCTGCCTGGCTGGTAACAGGTCATCTGTACCCACCAAACACCCCCACAGCCATAGCCTAGGCCACCCCAGTAGATTCTGTAGAAGCTTACTGTGTCAGGAGTGGAAGGCTCTACTGTACAGCAGGGGCAGATTCCAAAGTCTTAAGTTCCTAATCTGCGCAGAGCTTTGTAAACCAGCTAAGTATTATATGGGGAAAACCACATGCTCTGTTGGATTCACATTCCAAAGAAATTGGCATTGAAGTCATCTAAAATATTTCTCATAACTACTACATCCAAGATACTCATCAGTGTGTGTCAGGATGCTTGTGATGGAATCACATGCCTTTAACAAGAGATTTTTCTTCTCATACTTTGATGACTTGTTTATTTCCAAAACCAAATATAAACTAATTACCAGCTAGCTATAGATCATATAACCCAAAGAGATTATTCCTATTAAAAATCCTAGTTTTATTTAATAATATCCTCCTTCCTGTTTGCAAATATGATGTGGTGAGAGCAAAAGTGTGGTTTCAAAATGGTGAGGAATGATGCATATATTAAAGAGAAGACAGGGTGGCAGGATTCACTTTTGAAAATTGGATAGTGAAGTATTTCATTTGTTTTTAGTGTGTAGAACAAGATTGTGCATTTTGACATGTACTTCTCACACATGAACTTTAAGTTTATTTAAGACCTAAAGTCATGACAGAGACCCTGTTTACTTCTATTTACCCTAAATATATAGAAAGAGACTGGTTTATTCTATTAGGAATCATGACTAAAATTGACTACAGAATCTCTCAAATATTTGCTAAAATCATGTGTCCACTGCTATGGAGCACTGAAAAAGTCATCTCTCTTCTGATATTCTTCCTCAAATGTACAACCTTAATCAACTTAAAAAGAAAACTTCAAACAAATACAAATTGGAGAATATTCTAAAAACTATTACTATTTAAACTTTTCAAGGCCACGAGAGTAAAGGAAATCCTGGGGTACTCTCCCCAAGTGAAGAGTAAGGGGATGTGACACGCAAACTCAGTGTGAATTTCACCCTAAACAGAAGGAAAAGACACTAGAAGAATACAAGGAGTGAAATAACATTTTATTTGGGGTTATTCAGCAAAGTTAAATTTTTTTGGTTGATTATTATACTATGGTTGTAAAAGATGTTAACATTAGCAGATGTTGAGTGGTATATATTGTGCATGTTCATATTATGTATAGTAACATTGGACATAAAATTGAGATTAACTTTTGGGAAAAGGGCACCAAAGTGATCCATCTGAACAGAGTTTACATAAAGACTAGAGACTATTGGAGGAGCCAGCATCCAGATGGGCACTCCTAAATTTGGGAGGAAATATGAAGAGAGAAAAATAAAGGATGCTTCAAAGGAGCAGCTGGTGAGGTTGAATTAAATCAAATGCCCATGGTAGGATGAGGGTATAGCTTGGAGTGTCTTTCATGAATGAAAGAAGGGTTTGTTGAACCTGAATGTTGCTCAGAGTCTGAGGACAACAATGATTCAACGTCTGGATTTTGCAGGACTTAGAATGTGATGATCCCTAAAAAAGATGTTTCAGTTGAGTACTGGGGACCAAAGACCAAAAAGTATGAGCAGAGTAATACAGCAATGTTAGTATGCTACCATGGAAATACATTTAAATGAGGATGCTTTTAAGGATTTGTTGTTTTTGATTAGGGATATAGGTGAGAACTGAGTATACTCAGAAAATACATGAGAAAAAAACATTTAAAAAAATGAATGGCATATCATTTAGGACAATGTTCTCACTTCTGTAATTAGAAAAAAAAAACTCAATTTGGGGGGAGAAAGAAATTACATCCTGGAAATAAAATCTAAGGAGGAAAAATGTAACAGCAAATGTTGTTAACAGGGACAATGTGTTAAACTAAAAGCAATATATCAATATCTCTTTTAATACAGTACAAAAAGCTCAGGTTAATTATAGTTGTTTTTAATTTTTAAATTTCCTGATGCAATTCAGTTTTACCAATTTTAGTGATGTTGTAAGAACTGAGTCTGGAGAAAGTGAAACTTTTGCTATATTGACTAGTTTTAAACTAAAATGTATTGTTAAATTTATTCTGCACTGAGAGAGCTGAGGCTATTAGTTATTTCTCTATTACAAATTTGAGTATGAGGGAGTGAAGATGTTATCCAGTTCTACTATCTTGATACAGCAGATTGTAAAAGGTCACAAACATTTATCAATTTTACAAAAATGCACCTGCCAAGAAACAAATATGTAAACAACATTCAAAATACAGAATGGATGAATGAATGGGTGAGTGGCTTTCATCCTTGGTATGAAAACATTAAATCAATATCTATCTATCTTTCTCTTTTGACCAATATAAACCAGCCTCCAATAATTCCAATTCCCAAATCCACCTAAGGGTACATGGAGGGTATATTAAAATAGTATTTTGCCCAAAAACTGTCACAGGGATGTCAGAAATATGTCTGGAATACCAGAAACCTATGAGGATATGTGGGTAATGCTTCCTTCCTACATTCTTTCAATTAGAGACACAGAGATTTAGTTTTAAATTTTAATATAGAAAACCTAATTCCCTCTTTTTCTGGCTCCCTAATAGGATGTGTTAATGCACTGATTTGAAATGGTGACAGTAAGTGCTCATGAGCTCTGCATGCTGTCTGAAAGGATACTGGGCAGGGGCTTCAAGAAAGAAACAGTTCTGTCCAATTCACTGATAACCTCAAACACATGATGTTAAACCAAAAGCATAGGTATTTAAGATTTAGTAACTAAACACTAGATATAAAATTTGGGGAAATATGAATACAGAAATTATATTCTAGAGGATAACATGTATTTTTCGGTACAGTTTGAACTTTAAAGAGGAAAGCAGAACACATTTTCCTTAAACCTGGCTCTAACAAATCTTAATTTAGATATATGATCAACTCCATGGGTATGAAAGATGTATTTGGATTCAGTACAGAGAAGGAATTTAGTTCTAAAGGAAGTTAATTGATTTGGATCAAGAGAAGAAAACTTATGAGTCTAAAGGAGTGTTATTTCTGTGAAGTGTTTTTTAAAAGAATGAAAATACAGAGGCCGTGGCAAATAGACTGTAATGAATAAATGTCAGCTTCTGTTATATGGAAGGATAAATATAGGACGTTAGCCTGGAAGCCTGCTTTGAGGCAGGACTGGATGTGTGTGAAGTGTCTGCTTTTATTGAAGACTTCAATTGGGTCAAGAGACTCACAACTCTGAGGGAAAACAAGCTTGTCGTATAAATCTAAGGGTTTATCTTACAGTTGAGAAACAACMACATAATGAGGTTAGTCATAAAATTAGCCAGTGGCATGAGTGCCTTGTGGGTCCCAMCCACATTGAAGGCATATAAAAGGCCTTCTACAGGGAGAAATGTCCAGACTCAAGTTACCCACACTCCTTCTCTACCCAAGGACAACCTCAACCACCAACACCATGTGTGGCAGCTACTACGGAAACTATGGTGGCCGTGGCTATGGATGCTGTAGCTATGGAGGCCTGGGCTATGGCTATGGTGGCCTGGGCTATGGCTATGGAGGCCTGGGCTATGGCTATGGAGGCCTGGGCTGTGGCTATGGATATGGCTCCCGTTCTCTCTGTGGCTGTGGGTATGGATGTGGCTCCAGATATGGCTCTGGTTTTGGATACTACTATTGAAGACGCAGTGTGAGACTCTCAGCTTCGACAGCCGGGAAACTGGGATTTACCAATGTTGAATGCCACAGGCTCTGAGCTTCTTACCTGGGTGAAGGCCATCCTGCATCGTAGGTTCCTAGTGTGATCTTGCTGAAGACTTAMACCCTAGTGCCCTGTGGATCTGGTACCTCAGACTTTTCCTTTTTTAGATTTAACTCCTGAAATTCAAGAGAACTTTGAACTTGTCCTCTGAAGTCCTGTATTATCTCTCATCGAGATGAAACAGTGACAGACCTTGCATTTTGATTTTCATGCAGGACCCATTCTAATGTTTTCCTAATAAACTTTTTCAACCCCTAAAATGATCTTGATTTTCTTTATTTAACATCCAGTATTTTACTTCCCCCTCTATTCTTATTAAAGAAAATGATTGCATTTTTTAGGATGTATAATGCTTTTCTATTTCTACCCCAGTTATTCTAAAAATTCTTGATTTAAGACATTAAGAAGGCAATAATCTTAGCAGTCCTCAATTTTCCACTCTGTTTCAGCTGTGATATATATTATGTTGCGTTATTGTTAGAAAAAAGAGTGCAATATTTATGAATTTAGTCAAGCATTGACTGGAAATWGTATCTACAAGTGCTTTTACATCAAAACCTTCATCTGAATGACATCCCTTTGAAGACATGAATGTTAATGTATGATTCCTGCTTCTAATCTTTGGTTTGGCTCTATTTAAGGAAACAATATATGTTTCAATTGGTAGAGAAGTTCAAACTAAACTGGGCCTGTTCCCCACTAACTTTTACGTGCCCTACTTTAGTTTAAAATTTAGTTTTGAAAATGTGACATCAGTCCTAACACCTATAGAAAATTTAAGTTTAGAACCATTTGATAATATTCTACATTCTTTGTCTTGAGATATTTCTTCCTTGTGATTTCTGAGTTCTCAGARTTTATATCTACAATAATTTGCTTACCCATCAATTTTCTTTGACTCCTATTTGTACATCTGACAATTATCTTTTCTGATGTTCAACTTTCTGAATCGTATGCTAAACATGAGAAAGTTTAAGTGCTATATTTAGTTTAGGGAAGTCGAGATGCCCCAAWTCATTCCAACAGGTTCAAAGTTATAAGGTTGTTCGTGCCACCAGGACGAAATTAACATCTCCAGAATGATCCAAACCAAASAGAAAACATGTTTTCTTCTAATTATGCTTATAAAAGCATTTGTTTTCTAAATTACTTTATTATTGAAGCTTATATTTTATATTTCATATTAAATGGAACTTTAAGGGCCTGCACTCATACATCTCAGGAAATAGTAGACTTTAAACCCATTTTGATCTCTTTATGGGTCATAATCACTGGATACAAAAATATTTTAGAAATAGACACATAGACTAAGATTGCCATTGATTATGGTTTTGTAAGATCTCCATCTGATTCGGTCTTTTTTTGTGGGGATGGGGGGAACTAACGATTGAACTCAGGGGSACTAGACTACTGAGATACATCCCAGCCCTATTTTCTATTTTATTCAGAGACAGAGCCTCATTGAGATGCTTAGTGCCTCCTTTTTGTTGAGGCTGGCTTTGAACTCCTAATCCTCCTGCCTCAACCTCTTGAGCCACTGGGATTACAGGTGTGTGCCACCGTGCCAGGCTACTTTATTCTGTCTTAATGCCACCTAAAACTGATTAGAATTCTTGGAAGCTCTGACATTTTGAATTTGAAGTTAAAAGCCATCATTAATGTCTTCAGATAAACATCTCTTTTACACTGACATTGATTCATTCACTTCTTTGAAGTCATCAAATTGTGACTATCTCATATTGCACTTGAAATATGCTGATATTTTGCACTTTACACTATTCTTTATTTATATCTCTCTTTCCCCCAAAGGAAGTAACGTCTACTTCAACAGCATAGCTGCATTTACTTTATTTAGTAWTATGAACAAAACACTTCCCAAATTACTGCACTGAATCAGGAAACAGATCCACCTTTTAATGGCTTTTTTCAAATTATATAATTTATTTGGTATTGGTATTCTCATATAAAAGTAAGTAGAATGATAGAACCTGCATTCTAGGGATGTTATCAGACATAAATGTGTTAAAACATGCAAAGTGCTTAGAACAATGTCTAGTATTTAATAGGTATAACTTTTATCTATTATATGTATGTTTTTGCTCTTTTCATAAAAATATTATTTGGTTGTATTTATCATATTTTATTTATAGAATTAATATGTCAAAATTYCATGTAAATAATTTATATTTATAATTTAAATAATAATAAATAGCATTTATTTGTCATTTATTACAGAGGAATCACTGAGCCTATTCTTTCATATAGGTACTTAATCCTCATGAAAGTACTTTTGTTATAGAAATCTCAAAACAGTTTAATGTTGCCTTAAAAGATGTCCAGTTCTAAACTGAGTAAAATAAACAAACAAAAAGTGCATCAATTTCTCATTGGCAGGTTTAGCATGACRAAAGAAATGCTTCATATTCATTGACTAGATGTTTCTTTATATTAAAAAAAAMYTWWTTKSMWTTKKTWA